CCGGGGCGGCCCCAGCCGGCGGCAGCGCGTGAGCCGAGCTGGGCTGGAGACAACCCCGTGCCTCGCCACGCCGCCCGGAGCAGCACGAGGCCGGGGATTCTTCTGACTGAGGAGATGTGCAGAGAGGGGCTTCACCGGGGTCTGTGTCTGGGAGCTGCCTGTCCCCGTTCCGCCCCGGCCCCTTCCCAGGGCAGGTGTGAGCTTGGGAAAAGCCGTTTCCCTCTCAACTCCAAGGGCTGCAGCCAACAGCGGCCAAAATGCCTGGGTTTAGTGTCCCCATAGTTCCGGGGTCTCCAAGGAGGCTTGCGGGGGGCTTTCCCTGCTTCCCTTCCAAGACAAAATCAGGAAGCTTTCCCATCCTCTCCAGCATGTCCACAGGGTCTGCTTGGCCCACCCCAACCACACACCCACCAGGGTGGGGCTGTGGGGGGCTATGCACTCCAGCATCCAAAGGATGCTCTGCACCCACCCTGGGGGCCTCATCCCTCACCCTTGGGACGAGGTTTTCCAGTTTCCCAGGATCCCAGCAGCTCTTGGTCTGGACACAAAGGGTTTGCAGGAGCCGCCCTTTGGCTGGGCACCCCTTCGATTTCGGGTTGTCTGGAGGAGGAGAGCCCTCTGGGAAGGAGCAGAAGCCCTTGGTGGTGTGGGTAACCTCACCTTGAAGGTTGAGGAAGAGCTTGTGTCCTCTGCCGTGGGGCACCATGTGCCCGGGGGGTGGGTAATGTTGCTCCCAGACAGACCCTGCGAGCGCGTGGCACGAGGAGGGTGCCCACAGGGAAGCCATCACCGAGCGGGAAGGGGGCTGAGGCCCAGCGGGCGCCGCGTGGCACAGGGCGTGAGCAAGCGATGCCTTTGTGGCACGCGCACCGATGTCACCTGCAGCTAAAGCGCGTGTCGGGAGCGGGCAGGCGTCAGGGTGCCAGCACCTCGAGAGAGAAGCGCACAAAGCATTCGTGGTACATGGCGAAGAAAACCTGTGGTTTTCTTGATGTTCCTCCCTTCCCATCTCTTCGGAGGAGGACGTTGGCCTGGAGTCCCAAGAGTAGCTCCAAGCTTGTTTTGAGGGATGCAGCCGTTGCTGCCGGGGGAAGCAGAGCGGCCGCCCGTGCTGTTGACTGCGCCACTGCACGCTGAGCACGTCTGAACGTGCAGCCCGGCGCTTCGCTGAAGATCTTCACCATCCACTATCAAATAGACGCAATTCCTTCGAATAAAAATGCGAGGGCGTGTTTCCAAGTACAGTTCAATCTCAGTGTAAGTCTACGTGCTGTAGGCGGTTACAAAGAAAGCCCCAAGCCAGGGTCTGGGAGGGAAGGGGGTTACCTGGTCCCTAGGGAGAGGGAGGTGGGAGCGGAGGGTCCGGCAGGGAGGGCTGTGCCCCTTCAGGGCAGAGTGGGCGCAGCCGTGGCCGGTTTTGCCCCAGCACCCCTGCTCCAGAGCTGCTTTAAGGGCTGGGAGTGGTCGTTGCCGCTTTGCTCTGGTGAGAGAAGCCAGGGTGTGGCTGGAGATGATGGCAGCGCATGGTGCGGCACGGGGCAGGATGCGGCACGGGGAGGCACAGGCAGGGACATCGCCGTGGGACCTGCTGCCCACAGTTTTGTCAGCAAAGGCTGGGCTGGGTCTCACCCTGGGTGGGCCCGTCGTCCGGCAGTGACCACCGTGAGAGGCTGAGCCATGGCCCCAGGCGTCGCAGGTCCTGGGAGGGGTGGGAGCACGAACATGTCTGCAAGCAAGCGCCAGAGGGCTTCGGTAGCTGCAAGGGATCAGTAGACCCCCTGACGTGGGCGTGAGGGAGCGCCTGTGTCACCTCTGAGGGTGACAGGCACCAGGTCACGTGTGTGAAGAGGGAGATGCCGTGGGACGGGCGTGAGGGATGAGGGGGACGCGGTCGTGAGGCTGTGATGGGGCCCATCATGGCGCAGGAGGGTGCAGGATGGTGCTGCGGGATGGTGCACCCGCCGCGCTGCCGGGGGGAGGCACGAGGGGACACCCCGCGTTGTGAGCGGGATGGAGGAACCACTTTGTGAGTGTGAGGCCCTGATGAATAGATCATGTCGTGGGTTTAGGTGTGGGAAATGGCGGTTTGGGAGCCCCGGCGCGTGCTGGGGTACACCACGCGTTGAGTCTTTGGGGGTGACGCATGCGCGGTGTCGTGGGTGCGCAGAGGAACAGGTACGTGGCCGTGAGTGAGGGCACGATGGGCGTCAGTTGTGAGCTGCACCGCGCTGGGGGGGGTGATGGGGTGCACCCTGCGTGGGGCCTGGGGCACGTCCCGCTGTACGTGTGCGCGGCGCCGCAGTACGCCGGGTCAGGGCTGCCGAGGAGCGCTGGGTGCTGGGCGCAC